GATTCCCAACACTGAGCATCTGCGCGTATGCCTCTGCCTGCCTTACAGCTGGTTAGTAAGTTACTACAGTCTCTCAGTCTCAGTCATTAACAGCTGGTCAGGAACGTAGCTTCAGTCGTTGTCTTCTGCAAAATTCCATCAAAACCGTGAAAGCCAAGTCAAGTGTTTTGTGTCGTGTTGTTGTGGTATATTATTTGTGATTTAAAATAACATGTCCGATCCTTAAAAGTTTCACATTCAAGATGTACAAATAGGTACCCTGTTGTGAGCGAAAACGTATTTTGTTTGTGTTTACTTCGGGCTAAGTGAACTCTGTGTAGTGCATCAAGTGTAAAAACGTCTGCCAGGGATATAAGAGTTTTCTGAAGGTAACTCTTGGTTAATGTTATTTTTATCCGTTGAAAAGTAAAAGTATACTAGACTAAGACTGTCATTCTTTCAAATTGTCTAATACAGTAATTGCCCTGGCGCTTATAAGCATTGTCAATTGGGTTCAGCTTCAGGCTACCTTAAAAAACAGTCAAATTTGTCCGTGTTGATCTTCATTAACTTAAACTTGCCCCATTTTGTCTACAGTTTGACATTTTCTTAAGATCCCAATACGGTACATTTAATTTACAGTTTATGAAATCGATTGTAATTTAAAGGGGTACACTTCCATATCTGTTGGTACAAACAACCGAATGAGTAGGCCTAATATTGATTATTCGATTGTTTAATGGCCTACATATATCGTTTAGTATATCGTTTAGTTAGGTTAACCTTACCTAGCTAACCAAACGATATATCGAATAATCGATATATCGATCGATATTTTAATTCGGTTGTTTGTGCCAACAGATATGGAAGTGTAGTCCCATTTGGTTCTAATGTACCTATTGTCTTGTCTTTAAATCTTTAGTATGCTATATATCCTAAGTAAGTTTAAATCAACAACTTCTCGTAGTATTTGTTAACATTTTTTGTTCTTTAAAAAATGTGTCCATTATTTTGTGATTTTGTTTTACTGTTTAGTACAACAAAAAAACTAGGTAAATAAATAAAATAATGCATGGGGTACAGTATAGTTCTGTAGAGGGGTAACTTACCGACAGTTTTTGACTCTGCGATACCTATATTAACTTATCGATTTAAATATCAACCTAGGCCTACCGTATCGATTTTGATTTGGTTCAATATCCATCAATAACCACGAATAACCAGAATTCGGGAGTACCTAACTTATTAGGCAATTAGGGCTCTACCAAACAAGGCTATGTATGTCCCCAACCGAAGTAAGAGTAGCCTAACTTAGTTTAGGATAATCTGTCAAATATGCCAATTGGACATAAGGGTGAGCTTCTAATAGCCTGTGCAGGTGGGCAGTAACTTTAATACCTACTTTAATAGCCTACTTTACTTTGAAATGGTGACCAAACAAATGCTGGTATTTTTAAGCCAAGTATGAATGGAGATGAGTGTCTAGGATGAGTGGTCTGATCTTGTACTCTTTTTAGTGACTAAGGCTGACATATTCCTTAGACACAGCTGTTAATTAATAGCCCATACAGCCAATGGCAACTATGGGACCTACAGTCTATAGTGGAATCAGAACCACATTTTTGCCTTTTTATTAACAAATTGGTCTTATTATCAGGATACCGGTAGTACTGCGCTTAGTGGTAGTACGTTAATCCACACCAGGGAGTATCGCATCCACAGGGCATGCCTATAAATATCCACAATTTGTGACCTCCTAGTAGCTGGATTACAGGACAACGCCTCCGTCCCAGTCTAATCAATTCTAATGGCAGTAATTTATACAAATCTAAAAGTACCGGTACCCTTGTTCTCGCGCCACTCATCCTACGCTCATCTCCATTCATACTTGGCTTAAAATACGTAGTACTTTGTATGGTCACCATTTCATTGAATAAAGTAAAAAAGTATAAAACTGTTTGAGAGATAAGTGATGGTTTTGTTATACAATTAGTCAAAGTAAAAGTCCTTACTCCGCTAAGCAAAGCTTGCAATAGGATACTTAAATTGTTTTTTGTCTAAAGTTCTAACTAGAGGTTACTAGAGGTTGTTTAGTCTAACTAGAGGTGTTTGCTGGTCTAAGACTAGGCTAGTAAATTGCAACAAATATGTTAACTGAATTTTATTCATGCCATAGGCCTAGTTTTTTTAACATAAATTAGAATCATTGAATATGTCTTGTCAAATTGTATAGTGCTTGTAGAAGTGTAAGTATGCCTATTAAGTATTTTTGCATTTGCAGCTAATGTAAATGGTTCAATGCTGTAAGCTTAATTTGGAATTTTATTTTTACTACTTTTTTAATTTTATTTTTTAATTTTGATGTCCCCAGAGGCCAGAAACACAATTTTTTCAAATTTATGTATACATGGGCTATACAGGGTGTTGAAAATGTCTGGAACCAACATTATATCTGGCGAGTGGTTAAAGAAAAACAACTGATATTTTGTGTACGGATATACTATGGTTTTACCTATCTTTTGGTGCCTTATAAAATTTTTTACCACTTATAGGGAACGTCCTGTGGAGGATGCAGTAAAAAGTTTTAATGGAAGCCTATGGTAAATGATACATCATTTTAAAGACCATTTTTTTCTGAGTAAGGATCCGCAAGTTTCATCTCAAAAGGACCACCCTAGCAAAAATGGCGACTGTTTGAAATTTAAAAACCCACTTATAGGGAACGTCCTGTGGAGGATGCAGTAAAAATCTTTAATGGAAGCCTATGGTAAATGAGACATCATTTTAAAGGTGATTTTTTTCTGAGTAAGGAGCCGCAAGTTTCATCTCAAAAGGACCACCCTAGCGAAAATGGCGACTGTTTGAAGTTTTTGAAAATAATTGAAAGCTTAATTGGTATTTCTGTTAAAAATAAGTTTAGTAAAACAACACAAACAATTTAGTTAAATGTTTTTTTTCAGTCATTTTTCAGTTCACCACGTGATAATCTACTGTACTTCGTAACTGGCTTGTAATAGCATTTAAAGGAAACAAATACGGACCATTTAAATAGCAATGTTTTTAAATTTCAAACAGTCGCCATTTTTTCTAAGGTGGTCCTTTTGAGATGAAACTTGTGGCTCCTTACTCAGAAAGATATGGCCTTTAAAATGATGTATCATTTACCATAGGCTTCCATTAAAACTTTTTACTGTATCCTCCACAGGACGTTCCCTATAAGTAGTAAAAATTTTTATAAGGCACCAAAAGATAGGTAAAACCATAGTATATCCGTACACAAAATATCAGTTGTTTTTCTTTAACCACTCACCAGATATAATGTTGGTTCCAGACATTTTCAACACCCTGTATATGTGTCCGTAAACACAATATAACTTGAGTAATTCTTGTCTGATTTCGATGACAATTGGTTTAAAGGTGTAAGGCGGGATAAACTTGAATGAATTCGCTAACCAGCATGATCGGACCATGGGAACGGGTGTTTTATGGGGTTTTCTTATTTTCGACCCTCAAAACACAAAATTTCCCGATTTCTCTCTAGACCTTTTTAAAGAGCTTAAAAAACAGACAATTCAGTGGGTTATATCAAGGTGTTTTTTTTACGATTATTGGTTTGGAGAAAATACAAAAAAATGTAGGCCTAAATTTAAAATTCTCATGTTATTCTTATGGAGAATATTTTAAAATGTTTGTAGTGTTTATGGATACGGTACAGTATATTTTGACCAATCTTGGTAAATTTATTTATTTTATACTAAGAAGCTATTTTACAAAAAATCACACTTTATTTGTTTCCTTGTAGCAACAAACCTAAGTATTCGTTAAATCTAACTAATCTAATTAAAAATCAATTCAAACAAATGGAAAATTGCTTGGTTGGCAGGTTTGCTGCAGCGGGGTTTTTTATAATTTAACTTGCACTTTTTAAAGCTAGTATTAATTTTTACTACTAAATTTCGACTCCCTAACCCCCCCCCCCCATTCATCCCTCTCTACAATTCATTATTATTTCTGGTAAAAATACCTAGCTGATCTCCCATCTCATATGATATGGAATAGTGGATGATGATGATAAATTACTCACTTAGTGATAGTTTCAACCCCACCCGTGAAAAAACGAATGTTTACCCCTTTCAAAGTAGTCAAACCTGATACTCTTCCATGACTATTTGCCCTAGAATCGTTGTATTCAATATTCGATTCCGCCGAGTTGGACGTCGGAGTTAGAAAGTACAGTACAGTGAGTGTACACGGTAGTAGGCATGCGATCGCTCGTGCCGGTGCCTTGTGCTAACTGCATCGCTATCTCAGGATATGTAAATCAACTGCTGAATATAGCGGCAATGACCTGGACACGCTACTTGCCGTTCCTTTCCTCTGCGAACGCCAAACCTCGCTACAAGGTTCAATATTGAATGTCTTGGACGGTGAAATAAATTATTGAACACACTTTTCAGCAGTGTTTGTAAATCACGATTTATTTGGTTTTGGTTTTTTCTACCTACTCAAAATCGGCATTGACAACTTTCTCGTTTCGTGAGACTAGAGAGCACCTACTGAAGAGTAAAATGTAAATGTGGCTTTTTGATACAAGTTTCGATCAATTTTTAAAATACGATCACATAATCGTTCAATATACCACACCACTATGTATTCCGAATTTGTTCGTAAACACAGTTGAAGTTTTAAGTTGTGTCTTAATTCTTGCTTAACATAACCCAACCCAATTTAAATATTCAAGCAGGGTGGGTTATTATAACGTTTAAAATAAAAAATAAAAAAAAACAAAAAAACATAAAGGCCCGGTGAAGTCTGCGAATCTTGTCAAGGATTAGGTTGTCTTGGCTTAGATTAGGTTAGAACCAATCACATAATTTAAAACTTCAATTGTGTTTTGTTACATACAGATAGTGGTAGTGAACTAACGGAAAAGTTCCAATTCCAAATAGGACAGAGATTTTGCTATTTAAAAATAGTATGACTTTTGTTAGATTTATGTCTGTTAAAAAATGAACAAACTGTTTTTACTCAATTTTATTGTTGACTAGTGCAATGACGACGGTTACATGATCACGGTGGCATTGTATCAACAGCATCGCGGAGGACATCGAGGAATCGCTTCAGGAGGCACTGGATAATCACAATCGCACAGATTCAGTTTCGGCGCGAACGGACATTCCGGGAGTTCCGTCTCCTCGGTCAGTCGCTTCTTGCTCAACTCTTTCTCCTTCTTGGACCTCATGGGGACCCGGATGTGCAGCGAGTGTCCTCGGATCTCCGCCACTATCTCCTTGTAGTTCCCCGGCTCCTCTGGCTGTGGTGGTGGTGGTGGAGGGAGGAGTGCTGGAGGGTAACACATCGGGTTCATGATGGGTCGGTCAACCCAATCACCGTACGGGCTAAGTTGATCAGGAGTGGGTTGTCGTGGAGGTACGTAGTTCGGGTCCACCTCGATCTTCGGTCTTTTAGTCGTATCCCCGGGGATCTCCACGACTTCCTTAGCTTCCGTTCCTTTGAACATGAACGCGTCCTTGGCGCCCACTTGGAACTGCGTCACGATCAGCGGACCGAAACACGAGAGTCGTACGAGTACTGAGATCGCTCCGATCTTTTTGATGCTCTCGTCCAACAACTCGTATGTTCCATGGTCCGTCTTCGCCACTGGAAGGTCTGAATCTGCGCTGGATTTTAAGATTGCCGCGAAACTACGGTCGAGGTCGATTATGGAAGTTCCGATCATGATTTTGCTCGTTGATCTGTCTTCGAGTTTCCTCAGTACCTTTAAAATCAAATTAAATCATCTTTAGGTACCGGATCACACCAATGGTATAGATAACAATAAAAAAATGTTCCCAAATTAATTATGTAGCCTAAATGAAATCATCTCAGCAATGGATTCTAAATTGAACATCTTAAAAACTATTACCGGTACGGTACCGAATTATCTGGCTCTTAATTTATAGGGGAATCCATGTTTACAGACGTTATCCCCGCATAAGGTGGGGTTTCTTCTTATTCAATCTATGTCTATATTTTTCATTTTATTTTATTTTACATTACATACCAGTGACAGAACCATTCATTTTTGTTTCTGGTGTTAATATGTACTGTATTAGTTCTGTTTTAAGTGAATCAATAATTTGAAACAAAAATATAGAAAGTATAAACTGATAGAATACCTAGTTAAAATATACTCTGTTCGATTGATCTTGTCATTAAGTTGAACATGATACTGGCTCTTTAAAGGAATTTTCATTAGGTCCATGACAGACGTGCCTCCTAACACTAAGTTCATTTTGTGGGATTGTAAAAATAAATTTACTCTAGCAATTCGATTATACATAACGTTTTAGGGCGTCCCTAAATTAATTTGACTTATTCAACATGTTATACCTTTACGTGGACGTAGAAGTTGGAGGGTATATTTTCGGAGCTGAGTGAGAACATGCATGATTTGCCGCTCTTGAAGGGAATCTCGAGATCGTCGGAGGTGCTGCGGCGTGGCGGAGACTTGTAGAAATCCTCTTCGCACAACATCAGTGGAGGATTGTCTAGGAACTGGAACATAATACAAGTCTCTCGTAGCTTGGACTTGGTGTCGACATCCAAGTCTAGGCTGGAGGTGGAGATGTACACGCTGTCGACAAACACCTCAACCAGGAACAGTTTTTCGTAGTCGTACGCCATTATAACTCTGAATTTTGATACGAAATAATTTAGATGTAGGGAAGGAATGGAGATAAATATTTACACTAATTTAGAATTCCAATATTGATGTTTGCATGTCCGGACAGCTGATTTGTAATTATTTTCCACTTCGGTGGCTAAGTTTGTCAGCGTTTAATAATCATCAATACATTCCATTTTATACTGATGAATGGATTATAATCACATTCGATTCGTTCTATCGCGAAAACTCTGTTAATCAATTTTAGTCTATGGTTATTCTGCTGGATCAAGGTACTTAACAATTGGGGTTTCACCAGTTATTAGCGAATTTCCCATATAGGGAATAAGCTATTACCGTAGTACTCATGGTAAGACCTGGACCCGGGACCGATTTACTTTTTCGTCTTGAGGTCTTAGAGGCCAAAAATACCATCCGTTCAAATTCATATATATATATGTCCGTTAGCACGATAACTCGAGCAAAAATGATCCGATTTTGATGAAATTTGGTATAAACGTGTAAACCTACATTCATTCGAACGAGTTCGCGAACCAGCATGATCGGACCATGGGAACGGGGGCTTATGGGGGTATTATGGGGTAAAAATAGGGGTTTCCCATTTTTGACCCTAAAAACACAACATTTCACAATTTCTTTCCAAACCATTTTGTAAAGCTTAAAAAAACAAATAATTTAGTATATTGAAGCATAATTAATTGTGTGCCTAATGGTTACGGAGAAAAAATTCCCTTGTTATTCTTATGGAGATTAAGTCGACTGTTGTAATTTGCTTGTTTATGAACATATTTTGATCGAATTTGTAAAATACTTTAATTTCTTACTAAACTATTAACATTTTACAACAAAAAACGCCTTTTTACCCTCCCTGTTGCAGCAAACCTAAGTACTCGTTTAATTAATTCTATTTAAATAGGGAATAAATGTGATATTTTTAAGGATGCATTTTAGTGTAAATCCAATCAGGCAAATGGAAATTCGCTTAGTCTGCAGGTTTGCTGCGGCGGGGGTTTTAGTTTGAATGTTAGGGGAAACATTGTATTTATTCTGCTTTAGGTCGTTATTTCACTATAATACAACCAAGTATGCGTTGTGTGAATTCGGGACTCAACAGATTATTAAAATATCTCTAAAACACTAAATTATTGGGGGCATGTATATTTTTCTTAGCGTGTAATCTTTGTAGTGATAAGTATCAATATACAGTATATTATTATGGTTTGTATAAAATCAGCTCACGAGCTTCGAAACGAAAATAAAATTCAACGTGAACGTATCATTATCATTACTATCAATTGAGATGGGGGCGCCACCTTGGTGCGCATTTTAACCAAATACGAGTAAACGATTAGTGTAGAATAGAGTAAGATTATCTATGTAGCATTGTTAAAATTAGCTGTTCCATTAGCCTGGTCCCCTTCATATCATAACATATCTTTATAGTAACCACTTACTGGTAAATAATAATACTAGAATTTATCATTTTCCTGTATTTTTATGTGAATCAAACGACAAACAATGGGGATACTATTATTAACTCCAGGGAGTGTCTGTCTGTCTAAAAACATACAAATAAAACAAAAATTTTATGTAGAATTCTAATGTCAAGCAGTCGTAGTAGCAACAACAGTTATTTACGGCGTTTCTTCCCATTTTATTCCGACAATCCCCGAGTTCAATATAAAAGCTACTGTTTTATGACGGTTGAACATCCCACAAGGTATAGCAGTTTCAGTTCCTTCCTACCTTTGTCGATCTAGCAGTCAGGAACGTTGGATTCGAAGCACTGCAGTGCGCTTTTACCATCTGCAACCAAACTGTATTCTTAACTCAACTTTAACTGCAGCGCTCGTGTTTTATTTTAACAGCACGCAACTACTTGCAGATTATCCCTGCATGTTGATAAGTCTTATACAGTCGTTTTGTGTTTTAAAAAGTGTATAGAATTTGTATAAAAACATTTAAAAGATGTGGAGTTTAACAATTTTACCACTTTACCGAAGGTGCGATGCGTTTTACAAAGTTTATATATTGCTCAAATTATCATCTACATCAAAGCTTGAGATACTCGTCAAGGACCAATAACATGAATCAGCATTTACACAGTAATAATTGCTATGTACACACCATTACCATTTTCTACACAAAATAGTTATTTTGTTCGATTGTGTTATATGGTATAAAATTTTACGAGAGCAGATTTTAAAACACATATTCAAGTGCGGTGTTGCTGTGGTACATATTCGTTTGTTTAAGACGCCGTTCCCAAGCCTGCTGGAACTGAGAGACAAGTGTTGTTTTATTTCGTTTACGAGTGAACCGGTTCGCCCAACGTCTTCTTGAGTTTCTCTTAGAGAATTATTTGACTCTGTGACGTAATTTTCCTGGCGGACGACAAGAGGTAAATTACGCCACCGGTAAGGAAACGAGATCCCAGGATTCGCCCTAGTCTGGTCGCGGGGAGTTTCCCAGGAGTCGATAGTGATTCGGATAGCCTAACTTTGATAGCCCTGGTTGTCAGAGCTCGAGACGAACGTTGCGGGTTACTAAACACCCTACTCGAAATCACCACTCTAGCCTAGGGCTTGTGGGGAAATAAATAATTTTGACTTGACTCTGTGGGCAAATATCTAAATGACACACTACTAGCTAACTTAACAAATCAACAAGTAAGCTAAGTAGGCACTCCGCTTACCTACGGAGTTACGTCGTCACCCTGAAACAAACAAGGTTAGTACAAGATAGGCCTAACCTAGCCTAACTCCCACAGAGTCTGAATTTACTAGACAAGAAAACGAGTTGGCTTAAGTTGTCCAAGTGAGACACGAAACGGGAGAAAAACTGAAACTAAAAATAAAACTGCTTCAAGAGCTGATACGAAAAAAGAAAAACTAAAACTTCAACTTCCCCACGTGTTCAACTTAAGCAAACTTCTGCAATAATTATCAAGCAGAAACCTGTCTGCTGGGGCCAACTTCGGGGCGTTCGGGAGCTTTATAAAGGGGTTCAAGAATTTAAAAAGAAAGTCCCAGATATGGATTACGAAACGTTAATCGAAATGATCTGTCACCAACTCCGATACTTTAATTAAATGAGTTGGTTAAAGCGTATGACGAGGTCTGCGAATCAGGCCTAGCCTAGGAACTTCGACAAAGTTCTGCCGAAACACAAGTGACAAAAGAAAAACCTAAGTAGTCTTAGTTTTACACAACTTACCAAACGAAGTAATACTACTGTAAAACACTTTTAGCACACTCGATGCACCACGAACTTAATGTAGGCGAACTTTAAGCGACGAACGAAAAAGAACAAAAACTCTTCAAATCGAAGACGAAAAGACGTATCAGCGAATCCTTCAAAAGCCGGGAATACGAATGACCAAAACTTCACAAAACTTCTTCTTACTTCACCTTCGTCTCAGAATCGAGACGAAAGTTAAAACGATTCCTGATTGGTCAACGAGTTACCGAAACAAAAAAAAAACTGGCAGCGAAGGCAGGCGCATGGCAGCTTTAACAGGCTTACAGCCGCGTACCGCTCAAAGGTGACCTCGCTGCTCATCTTCTCTCCCGTAGCCCGGCCTCAGATGCAGTCGAACAGCCAAACAACCAAACTGACACCAACGTCGTCTGCGGTCTTGGAATTGGAGGTTAGGTACGACGTCAGTTTAGTGTCGCGACTAGGCTTACTCAACAGCTTATGTTTAGCTGTTTAATGTTCGTGGTCTAGATCGTTATATTTTTACCCCCCTACCCATTTGACTCGTTACACCCCCTCCACACTTCGGAACCAAAAAAAAGAAAACCGAGAAAAGAAAAAAAAACTGTTGAACTTTCCTGTAGATGGCACCACAGTAGGATCGTGGTTAAGGATGTTGACGACGAAAAGCGGACGAACCTAGAAATGAGGTAGACAGTCTGAGGCCTAATCGCCTCAGAGGTCTAGACGGAAATGACTCGGAGCGAAGAAAACCGAAGATGGTGGGGTTGACGAAGGTAGGGTAGTACGGATTTATCACCCCTGGCAGGGGTTATTCTGCGGGTTCTATTAGCACCACCTCCCAGGTGGTTATTAGGAGTCGACGGCCCCTACAACTGCCCAGGGCGGTTTAGCGGGGTCGATTGCCTCCTTGCTGCTGGAAGCGCCGCCTCAGCTCCGGCAGTCGGCCTCGGACGACTCGCAGCACCTGGCTCGGTCGCAGCCGCACGTATCGGTCGCCTCCCAGCATAATTCTCCAGCGTTTGTTGCGCCGCTGCTCCGGTGTGAGCTGGTTGTAGGCGGCTACCAGCCGTAGTAGGACTGCCCGGGACAGCGGAAGGGCGTTCCCGGTGACCGTCTCTTCGGGCTCTGTCCGGCGAACAGGGGCTCGGGCCAGGCCACTCGGTCGAGCTGGTTCCCAGATGATGGGGGACGGTCTGCGGCGCGCTGGGCCCGCTCCGGCTCCAGCTGGTGCTTCTCCCAGACGGGGGCGGCGAGGAGGGGAGTCGCGACGGCGACGCTCGGGCAGGCGACGAGTCGGCAAGACAAGACGTGGGCGAGGCAGTGCGGCGGGGCCAGGATGGCGACTGGGTGGCGAGGCGGGACGGCAGCTATGACGGGATGAAGAGACGGGACGGCAGCTATGACGGGATGAAGAGACGGGACGGCAGCGACGATGGGGCGGAGAGGCAGGACGGCGAGGATGACGGGGCGGGGAGGCAGGGCGGTGATGACGACGAGACGGAGAGGTGGGGCGGCGATGATGACGAGATGGGGAGGCGGGGCGACGAGGAGGACGAGATGGAGAGGCGGGGCGACGATGAGGACGAGGTGGAGAGGCGGGGCGACGAGGAGGACGAGATGGAGAGGCGGGGCGACGATGAGGACGAGGTGGAGAGGCGGGGCGACGAGGAGGACGAGATGGAGAGGCGGGGCGACGATGAGGACGAGGTGGAGAGGCGGGGCGACGAGGAGGACGAGATGGAGAGGCGGGGCGACGATGAGGACGAGGTGGAGAGGCGGGGCGACGAGGAGGACGAGATGGAGAGGCGGGGCGACGATGAGGACGAGGTGGAGAGGCGGGGCGACGATGAGGACGAGGTGGAGAGGCGGGGCGACGAGGAGGACGAGATGGAGAGGCGGGGCGACGATGAGGACGAGGTGGAGAGGCGGGGCGACGAGGAGGACGAGATGGAGAGGCGGGGCGACGATGAGGACGGGGCGGAGAAATCTGAATCCGCCGCCGAGGTGACGAAGCGAACCGGACTCGGAGCGGAGGCGACGCAGCCGGCGGAGAGACGACGGCCGGCTGGGGAACCACCGTCGGCGAGGTCGGTCGGTCGGGCTGAGGAGACGGCTCCATGGCCCGTGGCGATGATCGGGCCGGGACCTCCCCCTCCTCGAGGTCTGAGCATTCCAGGTCGAGGACGTCCCCGGGGTCCACCCGGAAAGGCCAGGACCAGTTGGCTGCCAGGAAGTCCCCGATCTCCTGGTCCAGCACCATGTCCTCGGGGTCGAGGATGTCTCGGCTCGGCGTAGACGGGCGGGGATCGGATGCCATCGTACCTACCCAACAAAACCAGAACTAAGCGGGACCACGCAAGCTAGGTACTACAAGCTAGGTACTACAAGCTAGGTACAGGTGCTACAAGCTAGGTACAGGCGCTACAAGCTAGGTACAAGCACTACAAAGCTAGAAGGGAAATCAGTTAAGGGATAAGGTAGGCTATATTAGTATATAAGAGTAAAATAAAGCGTCACTACAGAGTTAGTTAGTAGCCACAACTAAGCTCCACCACCTTACCACTAAACGCGCGCACAGAAAGGTTTTAGGTCTTTGGCATGGACCACATGCACCGCCGCGGAGTCCTCATCACGCACCTCGTAAAGGTTAGTTCCCCGACAGCCAACAACTGTGCAGGGGCCGCGATATTTCGGCGCTAACTTCCCGACAATCGCGTCGGCAGCTGAAGACAATACGTGAAGTCGTCGCATCACTCGCGCGCCAACTTCGTGCGTCACCTCCCTACGACGGAGGTTATAATAGGTTGATTGCCTTTCGTAGGCGGCCTTGAGGTTCTTGCGTGTCTGCGCGATCAGACGCTGAAACTCATCCAGTCGTTTGCGATGGGTCTCGCTTAACGAGGGACTTTGGTGAGTTTCGGACACCTCAAACGAAGGGCCACGGACGGCACAGGGAGGTTTCAGTTCGCGACCAAAACACAGCATCGCAGGAGTGAATCCAGTAGAGTCGTGGACAGCTGTGTTCAAGGCGTACTGAAACTCCACCAGGTGGTTGTCCCAAGACCTATGGTTGCCTTTTACGAACTGTGCAATCATGGTCTTCACCACCCGGTTTTGCCTCTCGACTGGGTTCGACTGCGGGCTGTAGGGGGCCGTCGTCTGCAGCGTGATGCCCCACTCAGCAGCCAGTTCTCGAACCAGTTTACCGACGAACTGCGTGCCGTTGTCCGTAATCAACACATCCGGAGCTCCATGTCGAAGTAGGATAGCCTTCAGCTTTGTCACCACATTCTTTGCGGTTGCAGACGCAATGGAGGCGAGTTCCGTCCATTTGCTGAAGGTATCCTGCACCACGAGCAGAAATCGCTGACCCCGTTGTGATCTAGGCAATGGGCCTACCAGGTCAGCAGACACTGCGTACCACGGCCCTTGGGGTTGTCGGAAGTACATTTTCCCAGCTGGTTTCGTTTGGGGTACTTTATAGGCCTGGCATTGGGCGCAAGACCGTACATAGGCCTTCACCTCACGACGCCAGTTAGGCCAAAAGTACTCCCCACCAACTCGGGCTAACGTTTTCTTCACCCCAAGATGTCCTGCCGTAGCCGTGTCGTGGTTTTCGTGCAGCACCACGGATACTTGGTCGCTTGGCACACACACCCTCCATGTCGTAGGTCGATCCTTCCTCGAGACTGCACGGTACAGCTTACCGTCGCGAAGCTGGTATCTCGAGTATCGCCCAGGGTGTTCGCTGACCAGATTGCAAAGGCGGTCATACCAAGCACTGTGGCTGCCCGGCGGGTTACCATCGTTGTCCACGTCGGAAGATGGGTCGTCAGTCTCCTGCTGCGTCGGACCAGGAGCTTCGTGATCGATAACGTCACCCGCCGGATCATCGCCGAGTGAAGGTTCGTCACCTTCAGCATCGGTTAGGCGTCGTAACCGCAACTGTTTCCTAGCACCGCGTCTGGTTAAAACTCCGACCTCAAACGTAGGTTGATCGGGTTCACCAGACGAGCTGGGCACTTCAGGGACCGGCTGACGAGACAGGGCATCGGCCACTCTGTTCGCTGTCCCCTTGCGGTACCTTATCTCGAAGTCGAATTGCTGCAACTCCATAACCCACCGAGCCAGGCGCCCACTAGGCTCACTGAGCTTAAGCAGCCATTTTAGGGCGACATGGTCGGTTATCGCAATGAAGTGGTAGCCTTCGAGATAAGCCTTGAATTTCCGAACAGCCCACACGAGAGCGAGACACTCCTTCTCGGTAGTTGTGTAGTTCTGTTCGGCCTCAGAGAGTAGCCTACTGGCATACGCAACGACCACTTCTCGGTCGTTTACACTCTGAGTTAACGCTGCTCCCAGGCCATAATTCGAGGCGTCGACCTGGAGCACGAAGGGTTGGCTGAAGTCGGGACAGGCGAGAATCGGGGCCGTCACCAAGGCGTGCTTCAGAGCTTCGAATGCCTTAGTTTGTTCGGGTCCCCAGAGCCACTTGGCGTTCTTCTTCAGCAAACCTCGAAGCGGAATGGTTACTGAAGCGAACTTCTCGACGAATCGCCGATACCACGACGCAAGGCCTAGGAAACTGCGAAGTCCCTTGACGTTCGTGGGTGCGGGGAAATCCTGAATGGCGCGGACCTTCTCAGGATCCGTGGCAATTCCATCTTGGCTCACGATGTGTCCCAAATACTTCAGCTCCCTACGGGCGAAGTGACACTTCTCGGGGTTTAAACGAAGGCCCGCCTCGCGTAGGCGGCGAAAAACAACCCCTAGAAGTTCTAGATGTTCCTCGAAAGACGTCGACACCACCACAAGGTCATCAAGGTACGCGAAGACCTTCGGCTCCAGCTCAGGCCCGATGACTCTATCCAGAAGGCGCTGGAAGGTGGCACCGGCAGAGTGTAGGCCAAACGGCATGACCTTGAACTGAAAAAGGCCTAGGCCTGGCACAGTGAAGGCGGTCACGGGGCGACTGTCGACGGCCAATGGCACTTGCCAGTAGCCTTGCTTCAGGTCCAAGGTACTAATAAACTTGGCCTGCCGGAGCTTCTCAAGGATGGCGTTAATCCTAGGCAGAGGATAGGCGTCCTTGATCGAGGAGTCGTTCACCCTGCGCATGTCGATGCAAAAGCGGTATTTTCCAGTCGACTTCCGGATCAACACGATCGGAGAGCTCCATGGACTCTCGGATGGTTCGATTACACCATCCTTCAACATGGCAGCTACTTCATCGTTGATGACCGCTTGCATTGCAGGGTTACGAGGGTAGTGGCGCTGTTTGATCGGGACTGCGTTTGGTTTGAGCCGGATGACATGCTCAGTCAACGCCGTAGGTCCCACAACAGCATCGAAGAGAGGAAGTTCTTTCTCGAGAAAATTCTTGAGATGTTGTTCTTCCTTAGACGTCAGCGGTTCCAGTGTGCCCGTCGCACAAGGAAGGGTCGTGGTCGTGTCGAACGTGCCATCGTTGTTGACGTTAATTCGTATGAGGTTAAGGTCTCGAATACACCTCATACCTAATACGACGTCCGTAGTGAGCCCCGGCACGAAATAGGCTCCGAGTATGAGGTTTTCACCTAAGATCTGGGCCGGGATGTGGTACTTCGTCTCAATCCGACAACGTGTACCATCAGCCATCCTCAGGTCCGCCGAAGATATCTCAGGTTTTACCCCACACTCGTCGAAGTGACGAACAACCTCATCCCCGACGAGGTTTACAACTGCTCCGGTATCCAACAGAGCTTGGAATCTCTTTCCCAGGAGCAAGGTGTCGATAAAAGGTCGGATGTCGGTTGACTCAGATGATTTTCCAGCCGACACGTACGAGGTGCTCACGTAATTGAGCTCGGTAGAGGTCGTAGGCTGCTGCGCTGTGGGCTCAAGTGACCTCACAATGCCTGAGCCCGATTCGGTAAAGGCCCTTACGTACTGGAGCCATGAGCTCCATTCTTCGGAGGTAGTGCGGCCACGGGACGTGGGCTCAGGCGACCTCCGGCGGTCTGAGTCCGTCTGGCGTTTCCCGCGCGACAACCGCAGCTCGTAGTGGCCACTCCGACTTGTTTGCAGTAGTAGCACCGCAACACCTTCGGTCGATCGCAATCTCGGAAGACATGCCCACGTGCATCACAATTCCAGCAGACTGGAGGGTTGCGGTTACTCGATGGTCGGGATGGATTCGTAGACGGTAGGCCCCGGTTTCCATTATTAGGAACGGTGGCTGTCGTATGCTTTGGCTGGTTACCCCCACTCCTTGCAGGGTAATCACCAGTGCGGCCGGTCTTGGGCGAGGTAGGTTGCGGTTTACGGTCGGGCTCAGAATAGTCCATCACCGCAACATCGACGAAACGGTCCATTCGACGCCTGGGCGTGTAGGCCGTCTCAGGCACCAATGCTTGAGCGACCGGAGGGGGAGGGCGGAACAGCTTACGCTCCCGTAGCAGCTCCTCGTATTCGTCGGCTCGCTCGATGAGGTCGGGTAGCGTGACAAAGTCATGACGTCGTATCATGAACTTGTATTCCGGCCTCATGTTCAAGTACACCAGGTCGATAGTTTCCTGGTTAGAGAAAGTGCCGCTCCGTCGGATCAGGGTTGTCAGGGCAATCACAAAATCTTTAAATGCCTCTGTTTCACCCTGAGTGCGCTTCCGTATCTCTTCATCCAAGTGGCGATGATAGCCAGCAGGGAAGAACTGGACCTCGAATGCCCGCCTAAAGTCGAGGAAGGAACGCCACATCATTTTGTTGTTCCTGTACCAGAGGAGAGCTTGGCCATGTAGAAGCGAAGGCAAAGCCTTCAAAACGTCCTCTGGCGACAGAGAGTAGGCCTCGCGCAGCTCCTCTAGACGCTCCAGAAACGAAACCGCATCTCGTCTGCCGTCGAAGCGCAAGTTCCACTTCCGGACCTTGTCACAGAGGGCGGACGACGTTTTAGCAACGTCATCAGGTCGGTCATCACTCCGTAGGACATACGAAGACCGGACACCTCCACATCCATCCCTTGGCCGAGACGGGACTGTGTATCGGGAGGTTAGCGGGTCGATCCCGTGGACTGGAAGCTCGGCGTAGTCCTCCTCACGTCGTGAGCCCCGCTGTTCGAGGTTCAACACCTCGGCTAACGTGTGCTCTAGGCTGCGCATGTCAGCATTGGGCGATAGGCCGAGCATCTGCCGCATGCGGTCCAAAGTGTGACGTACCGGATCGGCATCAGAATTTTCCGGGAGCGAAGACCTCGGAGCGAAGTCGAAGGCATGTCGAGCGTCAGTCAAGTTCTCCAGTCCTGCGAGTGAGGGTTCATGTGATGCCGAGGTGACCGCAGCAGGTGGGCTCTGACGCTGGAATGTAGCAGGGGGTAGGCCTACGAGTCCATAGGTACCGGGTGGTCTCCACGCAGTAGGCTGAGGCATTGACCCCGTTCGGTAGTCGAAAGGCGATGGGCGTGGAGTAGGCTCCTGCATCGAACTCCGGGCCTGGTTATCTAACACCTGGCCAGTCGTAAACACCTCCTCCTGGGAGGTTGGAGAAGACGGTGCACCAGCGTTGCTTCGCCAGTACGTGCAGAGACGTTTGCGCATTTCTGCCAGTGTACCATGTGATGGCAATTGGTGTCGCGCCATCTCCACCATCAACTGTTGCTTTGACAGCTCATGTATCCAGCCGACACGTGGATCATCCGTTGGGTAGAGCGGAGCAGTATAGCCGGTCGAGGTCACCGGTCGTGTGTACACCGTTGACGTAGTAGTAACTGTTGATGCACACGAGCAGGTAGGGATAACCGATGACGTAGTCACCACGGCCCCAGCCATGGTTAGAACTCCTGGCGTCGTTGTCAAAATTTCAGGGAGTGAGTTAGGCATAGCTGCAAAGTATTAGTGCACAACAAGACAAACAAATTGCAAAAATAGTTTAAAAGGCTGAAATTGATTAACAATTATGAAAATCCACAATAGGCCTATTTAA